TCTTCGCTTGGAAGGACCCTCCCCCAAAACTCTGTTTGTTACAAGGACAAGACGTTCGTGGCACGATTTTGTCATTCGAATCTTTCTGGTTAGTCTGTCGAACTTGAGTTCAGTCAGGCCTGGAAGCACTGGCTGAAGGCTTTCCTGAGACGAGAGGTCTCGTATTCCCCCCCCTCGTCGTCACATGTCCAGGAGACTCTTCGTGGTCCCAGCACTGCGCTCCGGGGTCTGGGTGTGAAGTCCTCAGTGAACAGAATGCGGGACGGTGCAACAGAAGCTCAAAACACGACATGTTGAGGCTGTGCAGTTCTCTCGCCGGCAGGAACGGCGCCTCCACGCCTTGCGGCTTTTCAGCCGTGTCTCTACATCCCGTTACTCCCATTACCGTCCCCATTCCTCGCAACTTGCCGCCCGGCCCGTCTCGCAATGGGTCGCGTCACATCCCCAACTTCGAACCCAGCGTGTCATCAGCGTGCCAAACTCAGACCGCCGTCCCCCTGAGTTGCATGTCTTCGGCGTTGGAGAAGCCATCGATAGAGCTTCGCAATCGGTAGCCAGGACATGTCTCGGTCTAGACCTCAGTCGATCACCACCATGTCGACTATTGCCCGGTGGGTGCCCTGGCGGCTGTCCAGCGGCTGCCGGTCCGGTCCCGAACCCTGTTGACTTGGGTGTCGAATCCAGACAATGGCCATTGTGTCACCACCACAGCATGCCTTTTCTCCCTTGGGCTATGGCCTCGCGTGTGCCACCATCGATAGTGAGGCTCCCGGCTTGAGATCAAATGGGGTCAAGACACTTGCTATCGTTGAGATCAGAGCATAGCTCCAGGTACAGCGCGGGCGTGGCTTGATCTAGTGTCCCCCCTCAGGCTTCGCGCCTTCAAGTGACGAACTCCCATTTCTGGCGCTGCCACTGAAATGTGAGGTATTGCACAGCGATCAGATCCATTCATCGTCGTCGTCGTCTCGTCTCATCTCTACCCCTCGTCCAGCGCTCGTTCTCTCCCACAAAAGCTTCCACTCCCTCTCCTCCCTCTCTGTCTCTTTCTTCTTACTTAAGCGCGTTGGCACTGACGCGCTTACCGTGTTGCGCGGCTAGGCTCTGCACGCCTCGCACCTGAGAATGTGGGCACGTCCTGAAACCCTGAAACAATATCGGATGGATTGGATCAGTAGGTGAGTGACAGCTGAATCTGACTTTGGACCCATCCGAGCATTTCTTCAGCTCGTTTCAAATCGTTCCAGGGGCTACTCATCAGGCACTCTCCCCGCCTTCCAGAGTGCAAAAGCTAGCTGTTTACATGTCCATCATCCGCTAGCTACCAGTCGCATCATATTAAACCAGCGATTTCCGTTCCAAGCACAGCACTCACGGTATGTCTCCTTGATTTTGATCACCGGCGTGTCTGGCAGTGTCTCTGCTTCGACGAACGAGACGCACAGACCGGTAAGACTTTTAAATCTCTTTCCGGATTCTAGCCATTGTAACACACTGGTATGATCCTTTTTGCAACGAAGCAAGATCAGAGTAGCATGAATGTTCCAGCCACGCTGCCGATTCCCTTGACTGCCGTGATGAACGCCTCGTCTCGTCCGTTCTTGCATGTGCCCAAGCACCAAACCCTACAAGGCCTACATGTGGCTTGTGCTGATCCAGATGCCATGTTTTGGATATCAAGCGGATGAACTCTGATCAGTCCAGGTCGCCTCATCAACGCGTTTGGCTCAACCACCCCACGCCTCGCAAACATAGAGCTTGGCCCTGTCCTGCGTTTCAGCAACAGACCGAGAGACGTCATCGGAATGCAATGCTGCCACCCGCCAGCGATGGTTCAGGTGACGCCGGCCCATCCCGTGGCACTCGGTGCTCCGACGATTGATTTGTTCGTCCAAGTGCAACTTTGCTCGGTTCACTCTGTGACGATGGATTTGCTTTTCCGGCGCTTCAGTGGCTTTCTTGGACCTGGGCATTCCCGTTCATCAACAGGCCATCCCCGGCATCACGTTGCGTGGAGTGTTTGCACGGTCTAACCCAAGCCTCAGTCCCGATCCTGCAGACTCGGCGTGTTAGAAATTGATAGCGCAAGTGTCCGTGAAGCGCCAGAAAAGCAACATCATCCATCCCATATACTCCCTGGAATATGTTACCAAATTTGTGACGTCTCTTACCTACACGCGTGTGATGCCCATCGATTTCTGTCACGGCAAGAACTCGAGTCTGCACCCAGGCCTCGGGGCCCGCCCCATCGACGAGGGGCCGGCTGCATGCCTCGGTTGCTCGGGCTTGTCTGGGTTCTCAACGCTACCAGAGCCGAATGCGTTGTGCATTCAGATGATGTACACCGATGATTCTTACGACCTCGCCTGTCAGCGCGGCTTCATTATCTCACCTTCGACGGACAACCAACTCTCAAAACTCTCAACCCTGTTTAATCGTCTCGCATTCTCTCGAGAGCCCTGCGTTTACCCTTACAGACGTGAATAGGGCATCGGCCATACTTGTCTTCAGCCAGCTGTGTTCATTATGCTCGAGGGGACCTGGCTACTTGGTTCGGGGGAGAGGGGCCTGCTGGCGAAGACTCGCGTCTATCAAAGAGTCGACTATGTGTTGGACCTGGTAAGTGTACACCACACCACCAAGACTTACGACGAGGATGATTTACTAACATTTTACTTATCAGTTCCATTGGATATTTCTCACAGTCCACCGCCTTTGATGCCCCTCTCCGATCCGTCGTTGATGGCGGCCTGATGCGGAAAACACGCAAGTATTGTGTAGATCGAGATGGGTTTCGATTTGTTGATAGCCTGTCAGGACCGCAGCCGTCTTGTCTTTGGCCACAGCATTTCGCCAATGAGGGGCCTGGGCCGTCTTGCAAAGAACCCCGATACAGAACACGTTACCGGGTCCGATGCTGTGGTGCAAGGTCGACTTCTACGTGTGACGACAATGACTGGCTGTGACTACGGATATACAACTGCCAGATCCCGCAGAAAGACCTACCAATTGCTCCATGGACACCCGCCGACGTGGAGATGTGAGGGTCTATCATATTCTGACGACAATTGACGAGGACGAGGACAGGGCGTTCGCAAGCCTGACCGGAATTGTATTGGGCTTGCCGCGAAGATGCATATGCGGGCGAGGTTCCGAGCAATCACATCATGTGTCAAATGCTCCACGAAGTCTTCATGACGAGCTTCACGCCTGTTGTACTATGTATCTGCGAGACGGCACATCCTGGCTGGCAGAGAGCCCACAGTTTGGTTTCTTTTTCTGCGTTTGGTTTTCGGACCTGGCCATTTACAACGGCAGAGATTAGACAGGGCTGTCAAAGGCAGTGGAGATGTGCGTGTTGTCATGTTCTCAAGCTGGGTTGACGGCATTGTCTATCACATTTTTTTTATTTATTTTTTTTGGCAGGGCCGCAGTCAGTGGCTGGGGGACAAGGCTTTGCTGGTCGGGCGCCATTGGCTCAACAGTGGGACATGGGCGAATAGGGCCGCGCCCGAGGCGAACCAAGTTGGCGGGGCACAGCCAAACGATGGAGGATTTCGAGGTATCACTGGCGGGATGTTTGAACAGTTGACGTTGGCGTTCATAATGCGAGGTGTTCAGACTGATCGAAAGAAGACCAAGACTACCTTTCTGTCCGACCGAACGTACCTCGTCAGTCAGAGACACAAGTCAAGCAGGCGTTGTCGTCGCTGTGATGCGAATGGGCAGGCTAGCGCGAAGGGGATGGAGGGGCATCAAGCATAGGGGTCGAGAAAATACGTATTTTAGCTAGAATAGTACGTTCTGTACTTTGACCCTCAAATACAACGAACAACACGTTTTTAACGCTAGCCTAATCTGATAGGTGACCCACCGTTCGGATATTAGATCTTCCGAGACATAGAAGGACCCCGGACGGAGGTTTAACGGGGCCGAAAGTGCTACCGTAGGGCACTTCTAAGAGGGCTGACGTAATGTTATCCTAGCCTAAAAAATACAACGTTTAGGCCTTAAAAAACAACGTACTGTACTGAGTACGGCGTTCGTACTCGAACGCTAATCAAGCACGGGGAACTGGGAACTGGGGCATACCCCTCGTTCAATTCAAGGGACTGCCGAGCGGTCGACGTAATGTTCGCCGCTTGTCAGCCCTGCGTGTTCCACGAACTGCGTGCCCGCCAGGGCTTCGGATGGGTACGGATGAGTGGTAAACGAGATCGAGATAGCGGCAGCGATTCCTCAGACCCTATGTACTGGCTGAGGATGTGAATCAAGTTCGGGCCAGACAGAGAGGGGTTGAAACAGCCCAAGCTGGGTGATTCTACACGATGTGTGTTTGGGCGGTGAGTGATCAGATAATCTGGCTAGTACGGCTGATTGGAGGAAATAGAGGCAAACAGGCTGCGGGAGGTGCCAGAAGTGCCAGGTCAGGCAAACGCAAGCAACGAGAGAGATAGATATGGTACCATGACTAGGGTAAGGTACGTGGAGTGATGTATGGCGCTTGACTACAAGTTCCTGTCGCGATGTTGGAACCGTGATCTCTGTCCGTGGAGAGAGAGAGACAGTCGTACCGGTGTACCGGGGTACTTTGGCCTCTAACGCGCGCAAGCGCAACTCATCAAGCAATTGCGAAGTCGTCGCGACTGCGACATCACCTCAGCCATCATTGCCATGCGCATACCACCCATGCGCATACGTACCATACGATACCATACCGATCCGATTCCCACATTGAATTCCCACAAAGTATTTAAAGTGCAAGGTCGCGTCCGCCGGGCTGATTTGTCGCATCCGTAGTGCCGCCGCCCCTTGCCCTTGACCTTGGACCTTGACCCGAAGAATACAAATTACCCCTCCATACCCCACTTCCACTGTTCGGGACCTAGGTATCTAAGCTTGCCTTCGTTGCTTCAGCTTTCTTCTCTCTCCTTCCCACTCTCATCTCACCTCCACACTACGCAACCACTCCCACACACGAATTGCCAACTTTAGCAACCATGGGCGTTACCAAGACTACTCATCAGGAGGGCTCCGGTGCCATCCCCAAGCCCGGCCAGACCGTCACCATTGAGTACACTGGCTACTTGAAGGACACCACACAGCCCGACAACAAGGGCAAGAAGTAAGGACGCCGGACTCTGCTCTGCTCTGCTGCCCTCCTTACCCGTCCACTGCGTGGCATCCCCAAGCCTCCCCGCCATCTTCGGAAGCACTTGCTCAATACCGCTGCTGACAACATCTTCCTTACAGGTTCGACTCTTCTGTCGGCCGCGGCGATTTCATCACCCGCATTGGTGTCGGCCAGGTCATTAAGGGTATGTTCCGACGACGTCCGCCACGATCACCACCCGCTTACTTCACCGGAGCAATCTGCAGATGATATCCTGCTAGTTTTTGTCTGCGTGACCGCTAACACATATACGCTGCAGGTTGGGATGAGGGCGTCACCACCATGAAGGTTGGCGAGAAGGCCACCCTTGACATTACCAGCGACTATGCCTATGGCGAGCGGTAGGCATCTTCTTCGGCCGCTATGCCGCTGCGGCACATTTAGACAGACACTGACTTTCGACTCTAGCGGCTTCACCGGTCACATTCCCCCTCGCGCCGATCTCATCTTGTATGTATCACTTACCTTGGCATTGGATCCAAACCTTGCCGGACTGTTATCAAGCTAACAACCTTTACTACAGTGACGTTGAGTTGAAGCACGTCGAATGATTATAAGCACCTTGCTTCGCGGGGCGATAGACTCTAGAGAAACTGCCACGTTATGCATTCGGATCGTTTGCTCTGGGCTCGAACACGTGGAAACCGCGTCCTCCAATTGAGGCCTGGTCGTGCAGTTGGGTGGTGCTGCTCAGCCAGTCACTCAGACACGCACTAGATTGAATACAATCCAAAAGAAATTCCCAACATGACCCTCGGTATCCTCGCACTGTTAAGCACGCCAAGCTGATTAGTAGCTGCGTAAACGCCGGATCTTGTGCGCGGAGATTGGGTTCACTTCGCACAGCAGCAACGAAGGGTGTCACGCATCTGCTCAAATATCAACCGTCATTGCGTGATCCAGTCTGTTAAAAGTTGCCAACGGACGACGACCTTACCATGGAGGTATTCAGGATTATTGACATCTAGATCAGTGTGTTCACAGCGTCAACCTTGTCGATGGTCGGTGATGACCTATGCATGATGGGATGTCACTAAATCATTTAACACTGGTTTCGACAGTACCCTATTGTGACCTCCTAGGTGCACATCAGAGCAGCCGGCTTTAGTTTATGCCAGACTGCAGAGGTGCCTGGAAGTGGAGGATTGGGTCAATGACAGACGAGCTTAAGGGCCAGTGGCACTGGACTTCGCCCCGCGATGGAACTCGGTAGATTATCGGAGAAGCTGGCTCAAAGCAGCAGAAGCACAGTGCCAAAAAAGGAGTTTTGACACCTATGTTCAGCCAGACACGTTACTTTGTTTCCTTGTACAGTGTGTTCTACTGACCTCGCGCTAACCCAAGAGGTCGATGCGATTGCAGCCATCCACCGGCATTGCCCGAGCGTACTAAGGTACGCAGTAGATAGCTTGAAGGCACCTTAGACACATCACTTAGTAATGATGTCAGGAGCGGAAGACGCTTCTGCTCCTGTTAGAAATCGCCCACCCGTGGGCCTACATTAAGCCCACAAGTGGTGGAGCTCCAGCGCTATACACTGTGTACGCAGTACGTGAGAGAAGCCCACCCCCCCAACCAACGTAGATTCGTGAGGTAGCCCGCCACTTTTCTAGCGTCAGGTAGTTGCTTACCTTATCCGTAAGGTAGCTAGGTGCCTCTCACCTCCCTCAACCCCCACTGAATCACCCAGTTACCCCCCTGCCCCTCGTCAACACCACACCTCTCCACCCGCAGGCTCCTCGACCAGCTTTACATCACTCCAACAAGGCTACTCTTCTGCCATCTGCGTCTCCATCTCGGAATCTCTACGAGTTTGCCTGGTGCACATTTTCCATTTCTACGCAGCGCACTTCCCTTTTCACGAACCCAATACCAACGGACCCCGCGGCCGAACGAGACGACACCTTCAAACACACACACGAGACCCTTCGCTTCGTCGTTTGGTGGGGTTGAGCTGATCGTCCCACCGCCGTGTTTCCCTCCACGTCATAGCAGCACCTCGAGAGAAACAGCTCGCCAAGCTGGGGAAGCGCAAACTTTCCAACGGCGGGACAACGAATTCCCAGAAAAGAGCCATGGCTGTACGTTTTACCCCCTCGACTACGGTTGTGGTCGAAGCAGGTGCTTCGCCAAAACGATGTTCTAACCCCGCAGCGCCGCTGCAGCTCGCGACATGGCCGGCCTCTTCACGTCGCGTCGTATCAGTCTGCTAACAACATCACCATGCATAGGACAAAAAGTTACCGGAGGTCGACCTGGTGACCCGTATGCAGGTTGACGACTCCATCGTAGGGCTGACCGAGATCGATGAATCCCTCTACAGTCGCCAGCTCTATGTTCTAGGCCACGAGGCCATGAAGCGCATGGGCGCCTCGAATATTCTGATTGCGGGTCTAAAGGGATTAGGTGTCGAGATTGCCAAGAACATTGCTCTTGCCGGAGTCAAGAGTCTCACACTCTACGATCCTGGTCTGGTCTCCCTCGCCGATTTGTCCTCACAATTCTTCCTTCACCCGGAAGATGTTGGAAAGCCCAGGGATGAGGTTACGGCCCCTCGAGTCGCCGAGTTGAACGCATACACACCGATCAAGGTCCACCAGTCGTCCAAGTAAGTTCGGAAAATGAAATACCGAAGAAGATCTAGCTGACCAACGACGTAGCTTGGGCGAGAACCTCTCCCAATTCGACAAGTACCAGGTTGTCGTCTTAACTAGCCTTCCTCTGAAACTGCAGACTCTTATTGGCGATTACTGCCACTCTAAAGGCATTTACGTCGTTGCCGCCGACACGTTCGGTCTATTTGGCTCCATATTCTGTGACTTTGGCGAGAACTTTACCGTCATCGACCAAACCGGCGAAAGCCCCTTGAGCGGAATTGTCGCCGGCATTGACGAGGAGGGACTCGTCTCTGCTCTTGACGAGACTCGTCATGGACTTGAGGATGGTGACTATGTCACATTTTCTGAGATTGAGGGTATGGAAGGCTTGAATGGAAGCGAGCCTCGCAAGATCACTGTCAAGGGCCCGTACACATTCTCGATCGGCGATGTTTCCGGTCTTGGTCAGTACAAGCGCGGAGGTCTCTACCAGCAGGTCAAGATGCCAAAGTCTATCAACTTCAAGAGCATCACCGCTGCGATCAAGGAGCCTGAATTTGTCATGTCTGACTTTGCCAAATTCGACCGTCCCCAGCAGTTGCATCTTGGTTTCCAGGCTCTCCACGCGTTTGCGGAGAGTCAGGGTCGCTTCCCTAACCCCTTGGACGATGGAGATGCCACGGTCATCCTCCGCTCCGCAGAGGAGTTCGCCAAGGCGGAAGGCCTCGAGGTCGAGTTCGACGAAAAGCTGATCAAGGAGCTGAGTTATCAAGCTCTCGGCGACCTCAACCCCATGGCAGCTCTGTTTGGTGGAATTACTGCGCAGGAGATCCTCAAGGCCGTTTCCGGCAAGTTCCAGCCCATCAAGCAGTGGATGTACTTCGACTCGCTCGAGTCTCTCCCGACTAGTACCGCACGTACTGCGGAGCTCTGCAAGCCGTTGGGCACTCGGTACGACGGACAGATTGTGGTTTTCGGTCGCGAGTACCAAGAGAAGATCGCCAACTTACGCCAGTTCCTAGTCGGTGCGGGTGCCATCGGATGCGAGATGCTCAAGAACTGGGCTATGATTGGCCTGGGTACCGGCCCCAAGGGCAAGATCACAGTGACCGACATGGATTCCATCGAGAAGAGCAACCTCAACCGTCAGTTCCTATTCCGTGCCAAGGATGTCGGCAATATGAAGAGCGATTGTGCAGCAGCAGCCGTTCAGGCCATGAACCCTGACCTTAACGGCCACATCGTCTGCCTGAAGGATCGCGTAAGTCCCGAGACTGAGGAGACCTTCAACGAACAGTTCTGGAACGACCTCGATGGTGTCACAAATGCACTTGACAACGTGGAGGCGAGAACATACGTTGACAGACGTTGCGTGTTCTTCCGCAAGCCTCTCCTTGAAAGCGGCACCCTCGGAACCAAGGGTAATACTCAGGTTGTGCTCCCACATCTCACTGAGTCCTACTCCTCCTCTCAAGACCCTCCCGAGAAGGAATTCCCCATGTGCACCGTGAAAAGCTTCCCCAACAAGATCGAACACACCATTGCCTGGGCCAAGGACCATATGTTCGAGAACCTCTTCATCACGTCTCCTTCGACTGTCAATCTCTATCTGACGCAGCCCAATTACATCGAGGCCACGTTGAAACAAGGCGGTAGCGCTAAGTTGACTCTGGAGACGCTCCGCGACTACCTGACTACCGACCGCCCGCGTACATTCGAAGACTGTATCGCATGGGCACGGATTCTGTTCGAGAAGGAGTTCAACAACAAGATCCAGCAACTTCTGCACAACTTTCCTAAGGACTCGACAACCTCCAGTGGCACTCCCTTCTGGTCTGGTCCCAAGCGGGCCCCTGATCCGCTCAAGTTCGATGCCAAGAACCCTACTCACTTTGCTTTTGTTGTTGCTGCTGCCAATCTGCATGCATTCAACTACAACATCAAATCCCCTGGCACTGACAAGGACATTTACCTGCGCGAGCTTGAAAATGTGATTGTGCCTGACTTCTCGCCTGCGGAAGGCGTAAAGATCCAGGCCAATGATAACGACCCTGTGAGTACCTCAAACGAAAGACTCGTCTGTTAGTCATTTCTAATACTTGATAGGACCCGAACGCCGAGGGCGGAGAGGGCAGCTCTTTCGACGACAACAATGAGTTACAGAAGATCATTGCCAGCCTGCCATCTCCTAATGATCTGGCCGGCTTCCAACTCCAACCTGTAGACTTTGAGAAGGACGACGACTCCAACCATCACATCGACTTCATCACGGCTTGCAGCAACCTGCGTGCTGCCAACTACAAGATTGAGCAGGCTGACCGTCACAAGACGAAGTTCATTGCTGGGAAGATCATTCCTGCTATTGCGACAACCACGGCTCTCGTCACAGGTCTGGTCATCTTAGAGCTGTACAAGGTCATCGATGGCAAGCAAGATCTAGAGCAGTACAAGAACGGCTTCATCAACTTGGCATTGCCATTCTTCGGGTTCAGCGAGCCGATTGCAAGCCCCAAGGTGGAGTTCAAGGGCCCGAACGGTATCGTCAAGCTAGACAAGATCTGGGATCGCTTTGAAGTGGCAGATATCACGCTGAAGGAGCTTCTCGAGCACTTCGAGAAGCAAGGTCTCAGCATCTCTATGCTCAGTTCAGGCGTCAGCTTGCTGTATGCCAGCTTCTTCCCCCCTGCCAAGTTGAAGGACCGTCAGAACCTGAAACTGAGCCAGCTGGTGGAAACTGTTTCCAAGAAGCCTATTCCCTCTCATCAGAAGGAGGTCATCTTTGAGATGGTGGCAGAAGATGTTGACGGCGAGGATGTTGAGGTTCCGTACATCAAGATGAAGATGGCCTAAGGGTCTAGATTGGAGGGCTCGATACGTCTTGACTGAGGTATGTCGTCAGGGAGGAGGCTTAGATGAACAGACAGATCAGGATGTCGAGCATTCAAGATAGGATTCAGAAGAAGAAAAGGCTGTATCACAGGGTCAAGTAGGCAGCTAGGAACAACAACTTAGATCGCATCTTGACATTCATGGAATGCTCTCATGGCGAGAAAACCGGTGCCACGATAACCCGGTGCTAGGATAACCGATCCGCATCAAGGGACGACGAGACGCCCAAATACGTACCCGAATGAATAAGCCCAAGCCTGTACGAGTAAGGTGCAGTGGCCATTTGTAAGCGCTCTGCTTCAGTAGCGTGGAGGGTGGAACAGTATCTGTTGGGTCCTGATTACGTCACCATTAGCAATGCTTAGAGCTGTTGCGCAACTGTTATCTCGCGGACGTTTGTAGAGGGACGTTGCGGATGGCGACTCTAGGCATGAAAGGGGAGGAGACCGTAGATGACATGGGTTATGTACGCCTTTGTAATAATCACCAAAGATACTTTACGCCCAAGTTGAGTGGCTCGCATGGGCTAGTCGTCCTCGCTTCGTCAATGCGAACAAACGTACCACCACGCAACTGCATCAACCCTTTCTAGACCATACCGTATAAAATCATCTTTCCGCCCCCGCACCCTCGAGGCGGGTCCTTGCTGCCGGCCAACATCATCATCATCGCCCATGAACGTGAGGATTCTGAATCATCTCTCCCACTGCTGCAAACAAAGCCTATGCCACCGTCATCAGGTTCGGTCTTTGACGTCAGCCGTGCTATCGCCTCGACACATCTCGCCTTCAGATTCGTCAACCTTCGTCCAGCATAAAGACGCTTTTCGCAGCCAACAGCTCAGAATGGTATGTAAAGCCGCGACTGTAACACGGTGACCAGAGCCCAGCGGGCAGGAAATTCTATATCAGGCACAGGACTGACACGGAAACGCCGCAGGCCAGCAAGATCACCGAGTGGGTCAAGTCCGGTGACATGTCCGGCGAGTTCAAGCGTCAGCAAAGCTCGTTCCGTGACTCGATCTCCCGGGAGCAAGGCGTCAAGTTTCCAGCTGAGAAGGGCCGCTATCATCTCTATGTCAGCTATGCTTGTCCTTGGGTAAGTTTTACCAGCACTCCAGGGCCCTGTTTTCTGGTGGCTGCGCGACAAGTAGCTCACATCCCGCAGGCCTGCCGTACCTTGATCACCCGCCAGCTCAAGGGTCTAGAGGACATCATCAGTTACTCCGTTGTTCACTGGCACCTAGGAGAGAAAGGTAGATTTGGTCAATCGCACAAAAATTCAGTGTGTTAGCTGGGCTGATTGCGCAACAGGGTGGCGCTTCGTCACCAACGGCGAGCAAGAGAGCGTCCCCGGTGACAATGTCGTCCCAGACCCCATCCAGGGCCACGAGAATTTCACACACCTCCGCGACGTTTACTTCGAGTCAGAGCCCAATTATGAGGGCCGCTTCACTGTCCCGGTGCTGTATGACAAGAAGCTCAAGACCATCGTTAGCAACGAAAGCAGCGAAATCATCCGCATGTTCTACACCGAGGTGACTTAATTTTGGAAGCCAGAAGAGATTTGGCGTAGCTGACCTTGGCCATAGTTTGACGACCTCGTGGACGAAAAGTACCGTCGAGTCAGCCTCTACCCTGAGACTCTCCGCACCCAGATTGACGAGACAAATGAGTGGACGTACGACAAGATCAACAACGGCGTCTACAAGTCTGGTTTCGCCACGACGCAGGAGGCTTATGAACGCAACGTCGTCGCTCTTTTCGAGGCTCTCGACAAAGCCGAGGCGCACCTCAAGTCGACATATAGCAAGGGCCCATTTTACTTCGGAAAGTCAGTTACTGAAGCGGATATCAGACTGTGAGTCTCAGGCGGTCCCGTTCTTCTTTTCTTTCTGTTCCTACTATTTTCCCTTCTTCAGTTGGGCATCAAGGCCAAGCTAACTCTATATTTCCCCGCGCAGCTTTGTCACCATTATTCGATTCGATGTGAGTTCAGCTGCATCTTCTTGACCACGAAGTTACTAACAGCTGCACAGCCCGTCTACGTGCAACATTTCAAGACGAACATACGCGATATCCGTTCTGGATACCCTTTCATCCACAAGTGGATGCGTAATCTCTACTGGAATGTCCAAGCCTTCCGCGACACGACCCAGTTCGAGCATATCAAGTGGCACTACACCAAGAGCCACACTCAAATCAACCCTTTCTCCATCACTCCAGTCGGTCCTTTGCCTGATGTTCTCCCTTTTGACGAGGAGGTTCCGGCAATCAGCACAAAGCGGTGAGGACCCATCGCGAAAGCATGCACGGCCAGAAAGAAAGATAGGAAACACCTGTCCTGCTTGATGCTCAATGCTGCTGGATATTTTCTCGGTGGAATGTTTTGTCTATGTATGCTACATTTGTCGTCAGGTTATGGGGTCATCTTGATTCTGCATGTATCGCACGCACAGTCTAGTTGATGACCACGTCAAGTAATAACGTAACATTGCTTATCCGGTGTGGGAAAAGACTACTTACTATTGTATGTAATACCGACAGTATCCACAAGTTGCCGGATGATTGACATTTTGATAGCCGCATGGGGATGTATTTTGTGCAAGAACAAGTGTTGTCTAAATTATGAAACTTAAGGCATTGGCTCCTTACCCCCTCTATCCGAGGTCCTGAATCGGCAACTCATCTGACAACTTCATCCAGTATTATGCTAGATTCCTCTGTGTATATAACAATGCGCAATACAATAAACACTTTCCCGATGCATGCAGTTCCTCCCAGTTGATAATAAATAGCAAATGTCCGTAAGCGTGAGAGGTGTTCTCTTTTTTGGTGTCCCCGTAGCCAAATGTGATGCATTAAATTAGTTATAAATCACCAACGACGCTGCGTTTTACAGCTGGCCTGATAAGAGCGCCTCCGTAGCTGCAGAGGACGTTAGTAGGAGAGAGATGTAAAGGGTGGCCAGAGAAGGACTAACCGCTATTGATGTACTGTCGTTTGGCATCCAGAGGAACGCCAAAGCGACGCTCCAGCTCCTGTTTGATACCCTTCTTCGTCACCGTCATCAGATCGGCCGTCCTTAGAATCTCGCGGATCTCGGCCAACAACGCGTCATCGCTGGGCAGGCCGACCATATCTTCGGGGGAGAAGAATTGCGAACCGCCGAATTGGCTGTTGCGGTTACCGCCCATCTCGGACGCTGCAAGGGACATGCGAGACATGTTACGCTGATCGTAACCCATCGGGGGCCTTGGAGGCGCATAGCCGGCGGCAATGGAGCCAGGACGGCTGTGGTAACCGTACTCAGAAACAGGAACCTGTCCCTTAGTGGCGTAGCTATAGCCAGAGGCCTCGGAGCGAGCATCCTCGCGGACGGTCTGCGCATCCCAGAGCTCGGCTTGATATTCTTCCCACTTCTTCTTGGGAATGACAGAGGGGTCGAATTTGCCCTCGTCGGAAATAACGATGTTCTTTCCCTTTTCACCAGCGATGACACGAGTGTTACCCCAATTGAAGTCATCCATATGCCAGAAGGAGTAGAGAGGCAGGGCGAAACTGAAGACGGGAATGGCAAGAATATACAGAATCATCCAACCGATCATCTCCCACTTGCGGCGGACAATAAAGATGATAGCTTGCAAACCGTAAATTGCTCCAAGCATGATGAAGGCCGTGACTGGCACCACGGTAGGGTTTTGGACAACCATCACGATAAGATAAATGATGTAAGCGACGACGACAGGCTGGACAACAGTACTCAGCAAGTCGACGAACACAATGAAACGCATGGAGAAACAGCAGAATCCACACAGCTGAGCCATGGGAATGAGTTCCATCAGGTTGTGCACCGTCGAGTTGATCCACCGACGTCTCTGGGAGAGAAACACAGCCCAAGAGTCAGGGGCGATAGTCCAAGCATGAGCCCGGTTGGTGTACTTGGTCTTGTACTTGTTGTGGTACTTGAGCAGCAACGTTGTGAGGTAACGGTCCTCACCCAGATGGAGTAGGTTCTTCATGTGCAACGTATCGACACGAATGGTAGAGTAATCTTGGACGATTTCGCGACTGACGAACAGAGGCTTGCCGGTCTCGGCAGCGCGGATGCGGTACATCGAGAAACAACCAGGCAAGCAAGTGACGCTGCCGAACAGACTTTCGAAAGCCTTTGTGAGGTTGTGAGAGATCCAGTATTCGTAAACTTGAATCATGGTGATGAAGGATGCCTTGGCGTTGGTTAGTGCCGTCTCACCACAGACGGCAATAAGACGAGTGTCGTTAAGGAAGGCAGAAACCATCCGTGTGGCCGAGTCGGGAGCGACGACTGTGTCAGCATCGATTTGGAACATGAATTCGTAGAAGGTTGGGTTGACGCCAATAATGTTGCGAATCTGGTGATACATCTCAAGTTCCAAGGGGCTCATCTCCAAGTTGTAATGAACGCGATTGAGGAAGCGCATGAGAATCATTTGAGAATCTCGCTTGCCACGGTTTCCTGGACGGGAAACCTCTGACGGCTTGCCAACCTTGACGATGACCAAGAAAGGAACGATGTGGCCTTGGACCTCGTACAGACCGGAGAAGACCTTGCCCATGTTGTGCTGCTTTTGACCTTCGCCAAGAGATTCGAAACTGAGTGGCTCGGGGTCGACCGTCTCAGAGACGCCGAGAATGTCAAGTACGATGCGAGGCGTCGGCTTGTCATTACCCTGCCCGATAATCATACCGTCACATACAACAATGAGAAGCTTGCGCTTATCATCGTAATGCATTCTGGCACAAGAGTCAATGGCACGGCGAAGAGACTCCTCGTCTTCCGTGTAAGCTGGAATCTGGCACATGACAAACTTGTCGAGATTCTCGGGCATATTCTTGCCACCGAACTGGAGGGCCGCCAAGAACTTGAAGCCGAGAATAGCGCACAAAATGATGGAGATCGCGAGAACAAGATACTCGGCGAACTTGCAACGGGCCGAGTTACGGGTGTCGACGTCGCCGATGTAGAAGAGGTTGTTGAGGCAGGTCTTCATGCGCTTCTTCATGGCAGCATCGATGTTGAGGTTATCCCATAGCTTTGTGATATCCGATCCGGCCTTTTGCTGGAAGAGCGTCGCAACAGTGTTGTCCATGAACTTGGTCTGGCCCGTGTCCTCGGGAACCGACTCGCCGGCCGGGGCTTGCATCCTCAAACCGCCGCTGATATATTGCGTCAAATCGTACACACGACTGTCCAGGATAGCAACAATTTGCTGCTTGTTGGCCAGAGTCTTGACGTACTCAGGAGAGTAGCCCACATTGCCCTTCTTGTAGTTGGCCTTAAGGAAGGTCATCTGTTCGTAGTACCAATCCGGGCGGCTGTCGTTGGTCCAAGAACGGAAATCATGGAACTTGAAGTTCTGGTCAACGGTGGCGAGCGTAGGGGAGCCAGTGGTGTTGGTGTTCTTGTAATCCAGTGACACGTGTTCGTCGACGGAACCGTCCTTGCCCTGGCACAAGGCGCTGACTTGAATAGGGAAGAGGGAGCTGATGTCCTGGCCGGCATAGTTCTTCAACTGTTTGACAGTAACATACGGCGGGTAGTGACGAGGAGCAAAAGAACCAAGATCAAAGACGACGCCGCGAATCGAAACGTAGGCAGAATTGTCGTCCTGTCCGTCGTTGGACGACAGTTCTTCAGCGCTGTACACGTGTTGCGTAGGACAGATGAGCTTGGGGAAGACCACAATGAAAAAAGCAGCAAATAGGCAGAAAAGCCAGATCAACATATTAATGGCCAGCTTCTCTCTCCAAGCAACACGAATATCTTTGCGGGGCATTTTGCCCATCTTGCGGATGAGAATGTCGGGAACAAACCAGGTCATGAGATAGACGGTGAAGACCCAGCGCTTGCGACTGGCACTGTCCTTGAATTCTTCGACTTCTTCGAGACTCTTCTCATTCCCACGTTCGGCCATCTGCTCACGGGTGTCCAGGTTCTTGAACATGTCACCGCCTCCGAAGGCAGAAACGCCAGCTTCGGAGCGAGCGTCGGAGCCGTCCTGGCCCCCAAAGTATCCGCTCTTGCCCTTCTCGCCGTATCCCATGGGCGTGTTGCCGGCAGAGAGCAGACGCTCCTTGGAGGCAGCAAAAGGGGTGTCCTGAGGTGTGTGACCGTCACCGTTGTCGGATGGTAGAGCGTATCTTCCAGAAGCAGAAGCATTTTCGGACAACTGCGCAATCTCCATCCAGCATCTCTCGCTGAGGAAGACACCGGTGGATCCAATTCTAACCTCGTTGCTCGGCCAATGCCTATCTTCAACGACAAGCTCAACACGTTCCCTCTCGGAACCAACGAGAATGGTGTCGGAATCGGCCAAGCCCAAGAATTCGCCGAATGGGAGGAAGAGACTGAAATCAGCCGAACGCAGACGCTGGCTGATCTCAGCGATTCCAAACGTTTGCACCTGGGTGCGAACACACTTGCTGTCGAATTGGTTGGCGATGCGCCTGTCGTTGGGCTTCAAGCAGAATACAAAGTAGGAGTTGGTGCTGGGATCAGCCACTGCCTTGGTAACGTTCTCCAAGGATGCAAGAAATTGACCAGATGCTCCCTGCTCCGACGCCTGAAGCTTGGAGCCCCCGGCTTGGGAGTTGCCATCGCTCAACCTGTCCAGTTCTTCTTGAGCTTCCTCTTGCTGCTGCTGTTGATATCGTTGAATGCGAGCCTGGTTGCGAGCGGTCCTAGTTGTCTTTCGTGACATAACACTGGGTGCTCTTGTTGGCTTGGAGCTGATGGTAGCCTGCATCACAGTTGACCTCTCCTTTGGGTGAGTAACTGTGCGTAGGGCTTCTTGACCAAACAAACGAGCAACAAACTCGCTCTTGGTAGAATTGATCATGTTGAGCAAATCGCCAGAAATCACCTCGCCGTTCTCCTCAATGATGCCCTTCACAGGGTAATCAACTTCACCTGCAAAGTGTTTGACGGTAAAAAGAGCTGCCGTATTCTCGGTGAGGAAGTTGCTGCCTGGGAGTCTCGCAGTTGTGGAGCCAGGGGTGATGGCGGGATTCTTGCCCTCGAAACGCTTGCGCAGACTCTCGAGGAACTGGTGATCGGTGCGGTTCCTCCGGGTCTGGTCATCCAGAATGCTGAGCAAGCCGTTCCCAGGCTTGAGTAGGCCCCTGACGGCGTCGGAGTTATCGAAATAGCTGGTAGCTGCAACGCTTACCTCCTCATTCTCAAGCATGTCTGCCTTGCGATCGAAGAAGTTTTGTAGCGTCAGGTTGTAGAGAGCTTCGCAGGCAGCGT